ATTGCCGCAGGCGTACGGTAGCATAGTGACTGCGTACTGTAAGTATTGCAAATCCATGCGTATGAAGTATTCGTACTTTGATACTTTCTTTACTGATTGGTTTCAGCATGAATCAAATACGTCAGGCGAATAAATTTGCTGTTCCAACTGTCGCGTCTACTTCTCAAATACTTTCTGAAGGTGACATTTCAATTTTAATCGGAGGAAAGAAGGGAGGAAGTTGGAAAGAAGAAGGAAGAGAGGGAGGAGACGATAGAAAGCGAGTGGACGCACGCAAAATAATGTTTGCTCCTGAATGGAACAAACATCTGAAAAAGTGTCTTTTTAATAAGAAAGTCTGAAATATCGGCAACATTATAACTCCGCGCACTCATGGGCCTCAACGTGTTTTAGCCTTATTTGGGCGTGAAGTTGATTAATTACAGTCAAAACGAATAGCCGTACATTTTTTAGCAGGCCGATGTGCCCAGATCCACTTTCGACTAGGTGACTTTCCTACTGGTAGGTTTTACTGAAATATGGGTCATGTACTGAAGTATGTTCAGCTAGCTTCACGGTAGAAAGGGCATCTGCTGGGAAGCCCTAAACTGGGAAGTTGATTAAACACCGTGAAGTGGAAACCGTCCAGCCTAGCAAAAGACTTACTGAACTGGCAACAACCAAAGAGCCTGGCCCAACTTGCGGTGTAGACCAACGCACATGCGCCGTCTTCTTTGTATTCTGGCCGGGAGGTACCCATTGGACGCCGGCGGCGGTCATTCTGGCAACTAGAGTGTCATGTGTGAGGATAGGATCCTCCTGTGCAGTAAGCAGCACTTGGTGTGGATTGACAAACTCTATGTCGGAGTCTTCACATTGATTGGGCAAGGCGACAGTGCGCTCAGGCTGCGAGTAGTTTGTGGGCACGCGGGGGGCTGCCATACCTGCAGCTAAGTTTTCGCTGCGCAAAGTTTTCTGAAGTGAACGCAATGAGGTGATTATTTTAAGAGCCATAAAACAGACAGACAGTTTGACTGTTAATTGTTTCAGTGCAATTATGGTGAGAGCTGCATTTTACAATAGGGATCAATCTTTGATGACAAATATTATAATGAAACAGAACAGTCGTCGGTCGCCTGCTAGAAGGTTTGCTACAGTTCCTAGTCAGCAGAAGGGATTCGGGATTTAAATGCGAGACGGAATTCCCTTTTCTGTCCAATAATGAATGCCATTCCGAAGTGTATTTGCATACCTTTAATAGCCGTAATTAAAGACAATGAACACAAACTACCAAACGGACCCGTATTCAAACGTTGGATTCCTCAGCCCGATGAAAAAATCAGAAATGGCCTTTCTAGTTCCGTTTGCTCCTCTTGCAGGTCTTTGTTAGGAGATACTAATCTGAGGGTAATAATCAATGCGAGAAAATTGATAGCGGCAATAATATTGGACTGGTGACTAATAGAGCCGGTCAACAGCGGCAATGGTGGTTAGAGCAACAACGAACTTTCGACGGCAATCACGATGGACATGACATTTAGTGGTAGCAGTGGAAATAGGTTGTCCTTCGGACATTTGATGGTCATTAATAATCCAAGGACAGAACTGTTTGCGTAGGAATCGGATTGCATTGAAATATAATGACGTTGGGATCACACTGATCCTCCTTACCCATAACACTCAATAAAGACATGACGTAAAAATGGCTGGAACTTGAAGCGGGCGTAGGGACATATGCGTGCATCAACACATCTGGCTTCACTTACTATACACTCCTTCTTGGATGAGGAAATATTCTGGGTAACACGCTACTTTATTTCACTCGCCAACTGAAAATGTTATTGGTGTTCTTACTGGGCCGATAAGAGTTTACTGGAAGTGAAGATATCAGTCAGGATCACAACTAACTGATATAGCTAGGTATGCGTTGTGGCTGTTAATCGACCAACGTGTCTTCCTCACGCGCACTCAGTACACTTTGGCAGAGGCATGCCTAGTGGTAGATACAGCACTATCAGAAAAACCCGTTTTTATGTCAATATCATTCACAGTACAAACATCAGTAGCAACAGTGTTTTTCTCACCGAGGGAGCCGCAGTACGATCACCACTATGATGTTCTAGGAAACTTTCATCAAAACTTGCATCCGTGTCGTTGGCAGTGTCGGTAATACGATCGCCTAGAGGTAGTGCGTCACGGCTCTCTTCGTCTAGATCGGTAACTTCCACAAGCTACAAAAAATAGCAGAGCCATTTAGCCAACTATTTTTCATGGAATCATACACAAGTGACCCCTGAATGCATGACACTCAGAATAAAAAATATATCAAAGCTAAAAGTTAGTTGTTTCAAATGATAACAAAAAGGCACAAATTAAGTGCGAGTGGATATTAGAGAAAAGGACTCCAAGATTATTAAATAGAAATAAACGTAAGTGCAAGATCTCAATCCCCAGCTTATCGACTTCGTGTAGTCAGACTTGCCAGTCTAAGGCTGGAATAT